TCTCCAGGTGAGGCCCCACGTCCTCCAAACGTCCTCCGCTGTGCTGAGGAGATTTTACCATATGTGGTGGAGTTGTAAGAAGGCAAAAAGTTATTGGAGGAAGATACACCAAATGATGTGTAAGATCTTACAGATAAATATCCCATTTAAGCCAGAACTCTTTCTACTTAATATGCTAGCTAAAATTAAGAGCAAACTAAACCTAGATGACAAAAGCTTAATTTTATATATGGTATCGGCTGCACGTTTATGCATGATATTGGAGACAAAAGGCTACACCTAATATAAATGAGTGGTTTATTAAATTAAATGAAATAGCTACCATGGATATATTGTCAATGTGTGCCATCGGGAAAACGATCCAACAATATGAAAGCAAGTGGAAGAAAGTTATAAAGGATCCCTGAAAAACAAGTTAGAAGCTATGGTTTAAAAGTACTTTTATTTAGAATTATAGTGGAAGTAGAGAAATTATATAAATAAGGTTAAATATTATCTTGTCTCTGTTTTGTGAATGGGTTAGAACATACTTGTTTGAAGATAAACGTCTGTAATGTTTTATTTTATACACAATAAAATTTTTTAAAAAAATCGATAGAGAGATGACATTGTTTTCCAACATATTCTCCAGCAGCTAAGAACATAGGCAACTAGCCCAGCCTGGAGCTACCACAACAGGAATTGAACCTGAGACCTTTTGCATTCAAAGTACATTGTGCTCTGCCACTAAACTATGGTCACTCTCTATAATAATACATATATATTGAACATTCAAGAGTCCTACAGAACTCCAAAGGGGTGGAACCATTAAAAACATAAACCTCATTCCTAGCTACCTGGTTCAGAAAGCTATCCAGAAGGTGGAAGAGGCAACAAGGAGATTTTGGATTAGATCCTAACCAACAACGATGAACTGTTTAATGGAGTGGAAGTAGTGGAATCCTTGGGTGGGAGTGACGGTGTTATCTTCTTATACAGAGGCCAGACATAGTCAGGCACACACTCTGGACTTCAGGAAAGCTGATTTTAATAAGCCTATGGGAATATTGGGTGAAATCCAAGGGTCAGAAACATTTAAAGAAAAGGGAGTGCATGATGCATAGGACTTTCTGACAGGTTAGCTATTGAAGGCATAGTTACAAACAATTCCAAAGAAGAAGAGATGTCTAAAGAAACCAGGCTGGATGTACAAAGAACTTTCAGATGATCTGAATTTTAAAAGAAGCATGTAAAAGATGTGGAAGAAGGGGAATATCACCAAAAAGGAATACAAATGAATAGCCAGTATTTGTAGCAGGAAAATCAGAAAAGGTGAAGTTCAGAATGAGCTCAGGCTTGATAGAGAGGTTAAAAATAATAAAAAAGGGTTTTTCTGGCTATGTTCAGAGTGATAGGAAGAAGAAGGAAACAGTAACGCTGCTGCATAGAGAAGATGGTTAAATGCTAACAGAGGACAAAGGGAAAGCAGAACTCTTTAACGCCTTCTTTGCTTCAGTCTTCCCCCAAAAGGAAAACTGTGCTTTAACTGGCAAAAATAGAACAAATGATCCTGTAAGGAGACTGTAAGTCAGAATATGTAGGGAGGTAGTAAAAGACTACCAGAATAGGTAGAGAGGTAGTAAAGGACTATACAGCTACACTAAATGAATTTACATCTCCAGGGCCAGATTAAAAACATTAAAGCAGTGGTTCTCAAATGGTAAGGCAGGATGCCAGAGAGGGGGGCAAGAGTTGCTTAAGGGAGGTGTGATACTTGGAGGACCTGATCCCTCCTAGTCCTCTTTCTAAAAAAAAAAAAAATGTGTAAAATTTACACATGTGTTGAGTTAAATATTTAATTTACTTAAATAATACTGTTTAATTTGAACAATGTTATTTCCTTATAAAATATGAATATACATGAATGTGTAAATGAAATTATGCACACTAAATCTTATTTCTTTTTTTGATAAAATTATCTGTTTGCTCCAGAGACTAGGACACAGAACAATGGATACACGCTATTGGAAAAGAGATTCCACCTAAACATTAGGAGGAATTTCCTGACAGTGAG